CTTGAGAACGGGCTGTTCAAAAATAACTTTCTTGAGAGTTCTAACTAGCATTCAAGGTATGAGTTAAATTTGCAAATTGGAAGTATTATTTTAGTAGTGTTTCTGGCAGCTTTAAATAACGTATTGAACATGATGTTTTTAGAACTCAGCCATTTTAGTAGTGTTTCCATCCATAAAAAATGTCAACCGTAGGCCAAACGTAACATATGGAATCCACCGAATCTGATAGTGTAAGCTGACCGCCGAAGTGCAAGTTCCTAAGCTGTCATTGAGGAGTCAACCGATCTACTAACAAAGTGACTTAAAAAATTGCCGGTAGCAGAGAACAGGTGAGTTGCAGGAAGCTGCAGTTGATGTGCTAACTCATGAAATGTCAACCAAAATTTCGAAATGCGTTGTCGTTTAGGAAAGATAAATTAAGTAATGTTGTAAAACTTATCATGATGCAGCATAAATCTATAATGATCCAGTTACCTCAGGGTGTCGGCTTTCGAAAGAACTTATTTTCGGCTGCATGCAAGATTCAAAGTTTGAAAAAAATGACTACTCATGTAGCATGCAATTTTTTCCTTGATTTTCGACACCCTTAAAAATTTAATTATATTTCATGGAAAACATGCATAAAAATTCATTCTTTTATTTAATCGGTAGAAAATCACGTCTTATTCCAATTTCATACTCAGAATAAGAGTCTAATTCGGTTTTAAAAAAACTTTTCTTATTCCCGAATAATTTTGAACCCGACCTGCTGTTACACTTGCATTCAGGCTTTCAAAATTACAAGCGCTATATTTTCCATGTACGGAAAACCATGCATTTCCCTACGGTGTTAAGAGGAGACCATATGAGGTTCATAAAATTAAGCAGTAGATTTGAGCAATATTGTTAACTTTACAAGCCACATTCGTAAATGCGGATACATAACGTTTCATAAACGGCCATTTAACGGTATTATAATATCTCACAATTAGAAGCTTTTTTAAAACCGAATTATACTCTTCTTTTGAGTATGCAATTGGAAGAAGACGTTATTTTCTACCGAACCGGTAAAAGAATGAATATTTTTATGCATGTTTTTCATGAAATATAATTGAATTTTCAAGGGCCTCGAAAATCAAAGAGAAAATTGCATACTACATAAGCAGTCATTTTTTGCAGAGTATAGATCTTTCATGCAGCCGAAAATAAGTTCCTTCGAAAGCCGACACCCTTAGGTAGCTGGATCATTATAGACTTATGCTGCATCATGATAAGTTTACAACCTACTTAATTTATCTTTTCTAAACGAGAACGCATTTCGAAATGTTGGTTGACAATTCATGAGTTAGCACATCTACTGTATTCAGTGGATGATGCGATCTCAGTCTGCGATTGCATCTGATAATGGGTTCGAGGGAGAAGCCGAAACCTTAGACTATGAAGTTTCTTGTTCTTGCGCTTGCATCTTCCTGTGCACTAAAGAATGGTGTTTTTAGTCTCCGAGTTTTCGGGAGAAGACCCAAAAAATTGTTAAAATCTGCCAAGACCACTACGAATTATGGGAGGCTTGTAGTCATCTAGTTGATTTCAGATTGATCCATTAAGAACACCCGCTCTCGGCCAGCTTTATGTGGCGAAAGTGAAAAATTTCATACACTGTGATATAATTGGGGATGACTTGATTCAAATGTGATCAAACTCGCGATACTCGGTCAGAGCCTCATAGCTTGGTGGCTAGGACGCTGATTACGTTAAAATACCTTACTGTGGTCGTGTTGGTTTGAGTCCCACAGAAACAAGCGGGTTTTGCAAGCATATTTTATAAAACCATATTTTCCAAAACGGTAACCATCGGGAGATGGCACCCAAATAATCTGCCTAGGCAGAACAGCCTGTCTTACGGGACAAGTGGTAATAGGGTTTTTATGGGTGGTGGCTGGTCGGGATGTACGATACTAGCCGACAGAAAGCCTTATTTGAACAGGTGAATGATCGATGTTGGCCCGCTCTCCGTTCCGTTGTTACAAAATGGGTCGCCAAAGGCAGTATAGTGGTAACGGACGACTGGAAGGCGTATACTCGGCTCCCCTCAGAAGGTTATCTACATTTGTCTGTTAACCACTCAAAGAACTTCAAGGTCCCTACCACTAGACGGCACACCGATGCTATTGAGGCATACTGGAGTAGACTGAAAAGGAAACTCCACGAGGGAGGTCCTGTATGTGGTCAAGCTGTGCGGGATCACATAGACGAAATACAGTATCGTCTTTGGTTTGGCCTCAATGCCATGTCGTTGACAGATGCCCGGGAACTGTTCCCGTCCCATGCTGTGCAGACTTATCCTATTTAAAAGTTATTTTGTTTTGTAATAAACTGTCATAATGCGAATGTATGCCGTATATTGAGGTGTACGTGTGTAACGATGGGGAAGGTTGGGTGACAGCGACCATTGTCCATTTTCGTTCGGCCAGCCCATGTTAGGCCGTCGCGGAAAGTCCAAGTAGTACGTGAAAGTAGGCCTGCAACCGCTGATATAGCCTGAAGGCGTTTGCGTCCACTGTTAAATGTATTATTTCTAGGTAACGGATTTGTTTGGGTGCCATATCCCGATTGTTACCTTCCAAAACAAGTGAACTGTGCAAAACATTTCAGGTTCGTGCAATTGTGATGCATTTTTCTTTTACATATTGACGGATTTATTAGATGGCTGTTTACGGAATGTTTTACAATAGTCCGTTCCCCAAAAACTGCTATATCCAATACAATTCTTGTGCGCGATATTTAGAAAATAACCGACCAGCGTCAACAGCCCAAGTCCAGAATTCATTTTGAATAATCAACAAATAAGGGAATACTATGTTATTTTTTAAAGAATCGCCAGGGTAATAAAACATGAAAGAATACGACAAACAAGAGTATATTGATGTTGCATGGTCTACCATGCCGTTAGCAAGAGACCAGTTAGGGGTTGCATTTATGAATCATAGTTAGGTGTTAGCGTTAGAGGTTTTGGTTAAGGATTAATGTTAAGAGTTAGTTTCGAGGCTAGGATCAGAGGTTGGTGTTAGGGTAAGAGTTAGGGGTTAGGACAACTATTTCTCAACCAGTCATGGTACAACCGCACATTCCCAACAGCCTTTCTTTTGTATACAATTACCAGACCCCGTCGCAAGTGCGTTCTTTAGCTGCACATGTAAAAACCCCTATTACCACTGGTCCCGTATTACAGGTGGCTTGGATTCGATTACTTCAGGTAAGGCTACATAACTACATCTGACTAAAATTCGAATCACATAACGGCTTTTAAATAGGCTAATTTAATTCAGTGTTACTTTATGGCTAGCGGAGAGAAACTAAGCAAACTTCGCGTTGACAATATCTGTAAACGAAGAAAATAGATTAGTTCTATTCTAAACTCCGCAATCGGAAATTATTCCCTACGTTCTATTTTTGGTAAGTTAGTACGTCGAGAAAACGAAGCCAATTAAATCTTGATAATAGAGGAGGTTATTTACGTCTAACAATATTAGTTTGAATGCCCTAAAATCTAATGGAATTTGCGTCTTTTCGGAGCTGATCGCACGCGGCTCGCATGATATGCTTGGCATAGGATGTGTAAACATCCTGACTTATCAACTACTTACCCTTACTAGCGCTTAAGTTGCGTTTAGATGTTGAACCATTTCTGTCACATGACTTCCGAATTACACGCTAGCCCTGCATTTATCCCATGTGTGACAAAGGTGTCAAATGGCTAGAAAAATTCATCCAAGTGGAAAAAGCTACATTTGTTAAAAACAACTGTGCGTAGTGGCATCCAGTGTCCGTACCCATAATAACTAAAAGGAGTCTGATTAACAACATAATTACTGTTGCTCGGAAGTGTAGACAGAATTTTGCGTAAGTGCGGTCGTTCGTCTATAATGACTCAATTAAACAGGAATATTTTCTCAAATATCAGTTTAACGGACTGCGATTAAAAGTCAAACAAAAGCTTCCGAAAACACCGAGTTAGCCTTTCTTGCAGAGCTACGTAATGGCACTGTGATCTACTCAAAAAATTAGTTGACACTAGATGATCAATATAATTAGCCCAGAATAGTGGTCCAACTTTTATAAAATTAATATCCCAAATTTCTCATTCCTTTGCTTATGACATGAGTTCCGCGGGTCAAAATCAATTTAGCGGTTTTCGGGAACTATGCTCTGTTTTTCTTCATTCGCCTGCGTGCAGCAAGTAGTGTTGTTCTTCACTTAACGCTCGCATTAATAATATGGCAGCGTACGATAACCGCCAACAACAAATAAGAATTGTTTGCTTATTATAAGGAAAACATTTCGAATGAAAAGAGTTCGTTCGCACCTGCCGCGCACGATCTGGCTCCTCATGCGCGCATGCCAGGATATTACACGCAAAGGGCAGGCCACCCGGATCTCACATGCAGCAGAGCATCCGTCTGGAGAAGGGTGCGGAAGAGCATACTTCCTACCTACGTGAGGGCTGGCGGTGGCGTGGCACGTTGGATGGTGTTTGCGCATGATGCATGAGTTGATGGGGGAGTGTGTGGCGATGTGATTAGGTCTGTGGGGATTTACCGCAGGTTTTCATAAATGCGCACGTCACCGAATATGCTCGGGTGGTGGTTAAATGTCCAAGGGCAATGCTGTCCATTAGGACGATGGCGTCTGCTGTTTGTCAATGCTCCAGACTCTGGTTCGCCAGTCTCTGTGAACGGATTCGTGAGTGACTGAACAGGCGACAGTGTAGGCAGGATGTTAATCCGGTTGTCGTTTTGATGCTGCTGGTTGGCAGGGAGTGGATTGGACTGGGGATGGGAGGGTTGGTGGATGTGCAAGGTAAGTGCGCCGATACTGCGCTAGAACCTGCCGTGGTGAATACGCATTTGGTCAAATAGGCCCATAAGGTAAATGAATGTGCGTGTGGACAGTAAGGGCGGATGCACCGAGTGTATGTGGGGGGCCTCTGGCACTGGTAAGATGGATTCGCGAGTAAATAATTGTTAACGGATGGCTGGCGGGTCGTCGGGAGCGTTCTGAATGTTGGCGGGGGTGGGAGCTGTGGCGGTGGTCGTTGCCGCGATGTTTATGGTAGGGATCGTGGAGATGGCGGCGGCCGACAGCGGTGAGGCACGGGGATGGTAAGCATCAGTGCTGAGGGCGGTTTTTGTTGGAGTTGATGGTTGGAGTAGAACGGTAGAGGCGGCTGAAATTGAGGTTGTCGGGTTGTTAGTGCAATGCCTCTGGAGTCGTCCAGAGAGGCCGATTCATACGAGTAGTTTTTGTTTACAGCGAATTGGTTGTGGGTTGTAATTGCGGGTCAGAGGACCCGAGACTTGCGAGCTTTCCTTTTGGCTTTGGTAACGAGGATTCGGTTAACCTCGCTGCTTTTCTCCGTACCAGTAAGTTTTGTGCGAGGATTGCCAGGTCGTGGGGTTTCTATACGCTTCAAAGAATACTTCAAGGTGACCAAGTAGCGGCGGGTTTGACCCCTTGTCAGTTACCATCCTTGGCGACGTCTCATTAGAAGAGTTGTTTTCGTGGATTCCCGCCCTCCATGCTCACGAGATGGCCGGTCCATCGCAGCTACAGTCGCCTCAGAATGGCATGGATGCTGGAGATTCCATTTCGTTCTAGAACCTCTGCGTACAGAGTCCTTTTCTGCTGCCTGAGCTTCAGTATCCGCTGGAGACGATTGAAGTTAACATGATTGAGTTTCCGCGATTGTTTCTCGTAGACTATACAGGTCTCCGCATCATATAGCGCGCCGTCAGGATGATAGCTTTGTACGCCACCAGTTTGGTGTTCAGGTGAAGATCATGACGATTCCACAAGTCTGCAGTTGGTAGAAGATTTGGTTCGCTTTAGAGACCTGATGAATATGATGCCTAATTGAGCGAAGATGTTTATGTTTTTCAATTGGATGCTGTTGACGTAGATGAAAGGAGCATTGTGTGCAGCGTTGGGCGGCAGTTGATTCATGACCATCGTTCTGCCCATGTTCAAATGGTGCCACAGTTGGGGGCGAAGAGGTCAGTGCTCCGTTGCATGTCTGCCTCTGTTACTGTGTTTAACGCGAAGAGCAGATCATGGACAGTGGTCGTAGGGAGACGTGTTGAGGCCTACATTCGCCGCGTCGGCGGGGAGAGGGTCATTACGGCAAGCGTCCATCAGCATAGCAGAGCACATGAGGCTGAGGAGGGTTGGGGAGAGTAAACAGTCCCGCGTCACACCACTGGTCACTGTGAATGCTTCAGAGACCATCATGCTGTCCGTGACCTGCGCCATCATCTCATTGTGGGGCTGAAGTACCATGTACGTAAGTCGTTAAGGACAGCAGAATTTCTGCACGATTTTCCACAATTCATCGAGATTTACAGTGTAAAGAATCACCCATGTTATTACGGTGGTGGATCCGCATTTCCTGGAATTTATCCTGCATCTGGCGGGCGGCGAAGATCATGTCGGTGGTGCCATTGATGTTCCTACAGAAGTCCCTATTCAAGATGGTTTGTGAAGTGGTTGAGGAGACGGGGAACGAAGATCTGCCAGTCCATGCTTAGCAGCAAGACTCCTCTGTGGTTAGAGCGGAGTTGCCTGTTCCCTTTTCGCCAATAAAAATGGACAATTTTCGCATCCTTGAAATCCTGGAGAATTTGTACTTCGCGCCACCACCCATGGAGGGGCGTTTTGAGATGATCCGTCAGCCGCGTCCGCCCTACCCGTAGATTTCGGTCGGAATCGCGCCAGATCCCAATGTTTTTCTGTTGACTAGTTGCTGTAAGGCACTAATTTTTTCAGGGGAGAAGGCGGTAAAAAAAGGTCGATGTTTGTTTCCAATTGAAATACTCTTTCGACGATGACGTCAAAGACAGTAGATGGGATACTGAGGACGCTTCTGAAATGTACAGTCCAGCGCTTCAGAACCGAGATTCCCATGTAAGAAGTTTTGTGTCGTTGAAGGCAAGAAATGACGCGGTCCCCTTGGTTTTGGGGTCGTAGGCAGCCTTCTTTATTGTTTCATTGCGGTCAGCCTGTCCCTGGATTTCCTCAGCCGTACGAGGCATCCAGGTGTTCTGCATCATCCACAGTCGTTGCTGCACGAGGCGGCGACAGGAGAAGAAGACTATCTTGTTTGCGTCGGCCCGATGTTACATGTAGTTATTGCGCAGTCTGTGCTTTACGGCGTGCAGGTTGCTGATGTCAGCATCGCTGTTATTGAACCTATCTTAGTGTTGGCGATGTGCGCGACCGAGAACGCTTGTGAAAGCGGCATTGTCGACAGAATGAACCGAGTCCTCAAGATGGCGTTATCATCTGAAGTCTGAAGCTCCTCCGTCGTTGGACCACATAATTGCTCAGGTAGACGCGGAGAGCAGGTAAATTCAACATGAATGTGCTTAACTCACTTGGTAGTCGTTTACCATGTTGTTTGTTGCAGGGTTCCAACCGGAGCCTCAATTCGGAGATGACGGTGCGGTAATCTGTCTATTCGTTGGTGTCGGAGGTCGCCTTGGTTCCCAGCACTTCCATATCGATCTCGCCTCCGGACAAGAACACAGTCAAGCAGCTGTCACCGCAGCGATCGGGGTGCATCCAGGTCGACCCTCTGTGCATCGGAAGGCGTTCGTCAGGAGGAGGCGGTGATCTGCGTAGGTTTGCAGGTGGCGGTCTCTGTTGTTGTAGTTGTGGCAGTTCGCGCTTCCTTGCTCTCCGTCGCTTTGTCTGGCAGTCCTACTGTCTGCCTCACAATCCTTGCTGATTACCTGCTGGGACCGCGATAGAATTGTTACTTGAAGAAGGAGGCACGATCGCCGGGACAAGAGCTTTATTAGCCTGACGTTTCGGATTCCTACTCGAATCCATCATCAGAGACAAAAGAGCAGAAACAGGTGGTCTTGAAGAAGGAGACACGATCGCCGGGACAAGAGCTTTATTAGCCTGACGTTTCGGATTCCTACTCGAATCCATCATCATCTGATCATCCATCATCTGCTCTTTTGTCTCTGATGATGGATTCGAGTAGGAATCCGAAACGTCAGGCTAATAAAGCTCTTGTCCCGGCGATCGTGTCTCCTTCTTCAAGACTACTTCCTGGGACTCGGCTCTTCGCTTCTATTATAATTGTTACTATCCTCTCGGGTGCTTGAGGCAAATCAACGCTGCCCCCTCTTTGATTGTCTGAGGGACACTGAAGCTGAGCTAAAGGCAGACACACGCTGGGGACCAAGACTCTCAACGGTGGACACAAGACAAACAGCTAACCTGGAGAGGGAGCTCGCTGCAGAAGTTTGCCTAGCCTATTGTACGACCTCATGAAATGTCGGCCAAAATTCTGAAATGCGTTTTCTATTAGGAATGATTACTTAGATGGGGTTGTAATACTGATTATCTTGCGGCAAACTCCGATACTCCTTCGGACTCGACGGGATGTCGACTTTCAAAGGTACTTCTTTTCGCTCTCCTGTAGAAACCGTACTCGATAGAAAATGATTACTTAATTGGCATGCATTTTTCCATTGATTTTCGAGGATCTTAGAAATTCAAACAAATTTTATAAAAAACATGGACAAAATGTTTTTTTTTCACTCGCTTGATAGACAGTCACGTAAACTTCATACTTTATACCAGAATAAAGAGTATAATTAGATGCTAAAAGTTTCGAATTATGAGATCATTCAAGACCATGCAATATCGGTCCACACAGCATTGTACCTGTCTGTTTAACATTGAACAACATAGTCCGCATCCATTGCAAAATTTTATGGACTCAATAATGCATCTTTTAAAGGCCTAGAGGAATATATGATTTTCCTAACGTGGAACGCATGCACATTGCAGACTGAAATCGCCAGACGATAAAGTAACGGCTGGTCAGGTCGAGTAGAAAAGATGAAGTTGACGTGATTTTCTACCAAACGACTGAAGAAAAGAACATTTTTTCCGTTATTTATAAAATATATATCAACTTATAAGGCCATCGAAAATCAGTGTGAAATTTCATGCTACTTAAGTAGTCATTTTTACCGAATGCGTTTCCTACTAGAGATTGAAAACAAGTGTCTTTAAAAGTCGACAGCCTGTCGAGTGCGAAATATTATACTTTTATGCCGTAAGATAATCAGCATTACGACACCATATAAGTAATCTTTCCTAATCAAAAACGCATTTCAGAATTTTGGCCAACATTTCATGTGATCGGTCACTTACTGTACGCTCTTACACACCAGGAGTTGCCCAACCCATTCCGTCTTCCCTGACTTCTGACTTGGGAATCTTTATATTGTCAAACATTCCGCCTTTCGTCATATCCGCCGATTCCGTGGGAACCCAGAGCTTCCATCCAGACAGCGTAGTTCGTGCCGAAGAAGACACTGAGGTGACCAAGGCCAACCTGCATGTCCGGAAGAAGAGCATGTAGTTATTTGTCCCATCGCAGCTGGTCATTGGGGGCGGGAGGGGAGAAGACAGTGACGGACGCTGCAAACTTGGGTTTCCAAACAGGCGGACGCAGATCCTTAAGGCGGTCCTTGATGCCCTGTGGCCGACAGGGCGATCGCCCCACAATGTCGTTCCGTATGTCAAAGACGAGCCTAAGTCACGTCGAGCTGCCGTTAGACATCCGCTCCAGAAGAAGCTGGCGTCCACTTCTTCCATTTGGCCTTGCTCGGAGAAGCAGCTTTCGCTGAGAGCAGCAATGTTTACCCCGTAGCACGCCAGTTCTCAAGCGACTAGCACCGCCCTCCGTTCCGGTCAATTGTCCTCGGACTGTCTAAAAGGGAGCGAACGTTCCTGATTGTCAGCGTGAACGGACTTGCTTCAGCAACTTGTGCGATGTGGCGAAGGGGAGGGGAACGAGGGTGGTTGTTGTCCGTTACAGTTTCTTACCATGAATTTTGCATCTGCGGACCATGGTGTACTAGCAAATAATGTGATTTCCCATCATTGTTTTGAGCGCCCTTCTTTTCCAGCTATAAACTGTGCTATCCCTAACTAGGGACGCTTAGACATCTCAGACGGATACTAAACTCCAATATGGGTCATGATCTTGTTTATTAGGGGCGGACAGAGTTCGTCTGGGCCGCCAGGGGATTGCATGTCGCTCCCTCCGTAGGACTTTTCAGGTGGGAGCTGGGAGGGAGGAGAGGGAGGGGGAGGCAGGGGACGGAAGGGGAAGGAGGGGTTGGGAACATAGTTACCGGATATGGAGACACACACAGCACCGAATCCCCTTACCTGGTTTAGCCCGCCTATCAAGTCGGTTACCGGGGTGTGGCCGCAACGCAGAGCTTGACCTTGCGGAACCACATCAAAGCCAGAAATAAACCAACAGGTATCATATGCAATTCCAAGGTTCTCTCTTCAAGCAACAACATACCATCATTGGAGATCTCAGACCTTGTACAGAATCATCAGACATAGATAATCATCTACAACAAATGTGTGTGTTGTTAATTCTTGACTGCGCGTCGATCGTTGGCGTCCTTGAGAGGGGACTAGGTCGCAGCATATGGTAGTGCGCACTCAGCGAGTGATATGGTTAAAGTAAATACGCCAATTTATGGAGCTGTCGTCATAAGCCACCAATAATGCCTCGCGACAGTATCCGTCTCTCCAGGGCTCAATGTACAATCGTGTTTGAGATGTGCCCACATCGCCTTCCGGGGAATCAGCAGTGCAGATAAGCTTATATGAGAGTTTAAAATCGGGAACATATTTTTCATTTCTCTATAGAATTTCCTGCGCTTCAATGTATATTGCAATCATCAGACAATGTAAACGCATATCTGACAGCAAATGTTATATAACAAGCGCAGGGTGAAAGGAAATAAGACGCTGTAGTCTTTCGAAGATTTAAATTCTCCGAAAGATTACCTCCCAACTCTTTCGGCTCGAAACAATGGAGAATATATGTCACCTGGTTGCTACGTTCACGTGTTTAGTGTAAGAATATATTTTAAATCAAAGTCTGTGGTTTAAATCACTTTGCTTATATACCTCACTTCATAAGGCCTATGACGTACTGATGATCGGTGACCACCGTCAAACTGCTGTCTGCGTCTGTCCGATTGCCTTTGTACTAAAAGAGATAGTCAGTTAGCGCAGATTAGCAATGGATTCAGTACATGCGTGGAACGAACACGGGTAGGTTTCTGCACCCAAAAATAATACGGTTAGTAGATGAATAAAAGGAGGAACCTGACGGCTAAATTGAAGAAGATCGTCTAAAAACGTGGAAATGTGTGAAGGTAAGTATTCGAGTCCCAGGCTTTTGCAATAAATAAGACGACTGCACGATCACCAAAACAGTAGAT